AATGACTAGAAGAAAAGTAGATACAGACAGTACTGAAGTTATTGTAAAGGGATGGAAATGCATGTCTAACAGAAGTCACTGCAATCTTTCAGCTAAGGCCACTCTCCAATGCCAAACTTTTTCTTCAATACCATCACTTGAAGATTTTAATCAATGTTTTATCGCAAACTGCTTGGATTTCTGCACTGCAGCTTTATGATGGTCTCAGTCAGTTATTGCTTGCTTGCCTTCAGCTTGTGCAGAATGACAAAGAATACAGAATTAAAAGCAACTTGACTTTTAACTGATTCTAAAAAAACACACATTGCACCTATTTAAAATGATTTGCATTGGCTCCAATTTTTTTTTTACATGTTTTAAAGTTTGAAATCCTTTTACTTGTCTGTAACCTTTCTTTGTGGTATTTTCTGTCGTTATCTGTGTGAACTACGCAGCCCCACCATCCAGTTGGCAGATCACTTGATTCTTGTTACCTTTAAAACTAAGAGAAATTTGGGAGCTGACATTTTTTTTTGTCTTTAGCCAAAACTGTAGAATGCTCTACCTTTGCATCTCAAAAAAATGTAATCTCTTATTTTGAAAAGCTCACTTGTACTCTCGTTTTTAACATAGCCTGAGATTGTGACTTTACAATTCTATAGTTTTTGTCCAGTGTTAATATTTTTGTCATAGTTCTGGTTCTGTTATGTTTTCTTTTGAGTTTTCAGTTTTACTTTGCTCCATGTTTTCTAGTTTTAGTGGTTTAATTCGTATTTTGTTGTGTTCTCTGGTTATTTTCACTTTTCAGTTTTTTATTAATTGCCCTCTGCTGCCCTCTTGTGTTCTCCTTTACCCCTTGCTCCTTTCCTGTTCTGCTCTGTTCACACCTGCTCCCAATCTGCTCGTTAGTCCTGTTTCAGTCTCCCATAAATACACTCTCTGTTCAGTTCCTCGTCAAACTTCCTCCAACTCCGTCTAATTGAGTTTTCCTCAACGTGATTGTTTCCCCCAGATGTCTCCATGGTTTTGGTTTGTTTAACTTTGTTTTCTTGTTTGATTTTTGGAATCCTGCCTCAGTTGTTTGTTTACCTATTATTAAATCATCAAGAAACTCACCTCTGCCTTCCTGTCTCTGCATTTGGGTCCTCACACCACAACCAAATCCTGACAATTTTATAGTTTAGGTTAACCTTGTTGTTTCAAAGTGCTTTATAAATAAGGCTGAAATGGAATGGAATACAGACTAATAATGTAATTTTAAAAACAGCTAAAAAATATATTTAAAAACACATTACTTAAGCTTTTAGTTAAAATTATCTTTAATATGTTATTTTTATTTGACTGTTTACAACTAAAACATTGTTTGATAAGCAGATTGTAGCCTATGTTCCTGAATTTACTTTGGGTTGGAAGTTGCTGCACTGTTCTGCAGATCTGACGTTAAAGGCATCCCTGTTTTATGGGTCCGACCTGGCAAACAATCGAAGCGTTATATTTAAGATAGATTCTGTGGATAGCCACAAGAAACCTGAATCCAGCTTATCTCAGATATTAATGGCAAATTAAAAACAAACCCATGATGGGTACGAGAGCTAGCTACAAGAACGAGCAGAAGGGTGCTGCAGTTACGAGATTTGGCCACAGGTGGCAGCATCATTAAAATACTTTATAATGGTCCTATAAATGTGTGCTGTTTACATTTGGTGTAAATATATATTGCAGTGCAAATAACTCCAACTTCAAGAATTTCTTCTGTTAAGACAGTATTTTGTGTCCCTGATTCAGTTAATTTCTCCTTTTTTTTTGTTGTAAGCAAAGGTTTACATACACCCTTTGGCACATAGCCTACATCCTTAAAGGAATAGTACACCCAAAACCTGATTAGCCTTCATTTTCTACTCACCCCCATGCTGAACAACACTCTGGAGTACTTTTTTGATATCTCAAATGCATCTGGAGATCTGGGAGGCTTCTTGCTGTCTGCTGACATTCAAATCATGGAAGTCTATGGCGCCCAAGGCAGAAAGGTCCATAAAAGTCCACAAAAAACGTGTCAATATTCCTCCATACTGCTCGTCCAATGTATTCCAAGTGTCCTGAGTGTTCACTGATCCTAATTCTCTAAAAAGTACTCCAGCGTGTTGTTCAGCATGGGGGTGAGTAGAAAATGAAGGCTAATCATGTTTTGGGTGTACTATTCCTTTAATTCTAGTCTTTTGATGATTCATTTGAGGCTTAATTTTTTTATATCTAAAAGGATGACATAAAAGAGAACAGCTTCCACTTTTCAAAATAGATATACAAATTTTATTAGTTTTAATTTATTGTAGATTCTTTTCTGCTTCTACCAAGTTCACATTTAGACCCAGATATATAAACATTTCCATAACTGGGAATAGTTCTAGGTTCATAAAATAAACAAATGTACAGCAAGACGTTTTGTCAAAATGTCCTATTCAGATAAAAGAAAGGTGTTAAAGATGTTGAAGAATAAAACACAGAAACCACAGACAGTCAAACCTCCCATGATAACCTTTAAAACACCAGAGTTACATCACCATGGATCAAGAGGAACGTCACCAGGGGGAAAAAAATATGCTAAAGTGATACCACCAGGCTTTACAGACATGTTCCCATTTGGACAAGCAAATGACTTCTAGAGAACTATTGCTGCTTTGACCGGAGTAATGGTGGGGCTGTAAACCTTGAGGTGGATTTAGTATCATGCCTTGTGGCAGTTATGTTTCACTGATCCTAATTCATTACTTAAAAGGTACAAGTATTGAAAAAGAATTTCAATATTCAAACTCAGAAGAAACAGATCCATGGTTGAAATTTCAACATGGCTATGTTCAGAAAAGGTAATTATCCCAACAATTTTAAAAAAAGGTTATAGGATTTATAACGCAGACTAGCAAAGCTCTTCTGCAGCCTCAACCATATACTGGTGCCCATTAAATATTTTATAGTCTTATAGTCTGGGCTATTAGATTCTGATTATATGTTAACCCTGAATAAAAATACAGATGTACAACACATTAAACAACATTTAATCTAAGAATTATTTGCATTTATGTATACATTTTCCAATCTTTAGGCCCATGTATAATTTCAACCTTAATTTGAACACACGCTAAACTTAATTATAATCTTTGCAACCAACATTTTTTTAACATCAAAGTTATACATTCACCGGCCACTTTATTAGGTACCCCATGCTAGTAACGGGTTGGACCCCCTTTTGCCTTCAGAACTGCCTCAATTCTTTGTGGCACAGATTCAACAAGGTGCTGGAAGCATTCCTCAGGGAGTTTGGTCCATATTGACATGATGGCATAACACAGTTGCCGCAGATTTGTCCGCTGCACATCCATGATGCGAATCTCCCGTTCCACCACATCCCAAAGATGCTCTATTGGATTGAGATCTGGTGACTGTGGAGGCCATTTGAGTACAGTGAACTCATTGTCATGTTCAAGAAACCAGTCTGAGATGATTCCAGCTTTATGACATGGCGCATTATCCTGCTGAAAGTAGCCATCAGAAGCTGGGTACATTGTGGTCATAAAGGGATAGACATGGTCAGCAACAATACTCAGGTAGGCTGTGGCGTTGCAACAATGTTCAATTGGTACCAAGGGGCCCAAAGGGTGCCAAGAAAATATTCCCCACACCATGACACCACCACCACCAGCCTGAACCGTTGATACAAGGCAGGATGGATCCATGCTTTCATGTTATAGACGCCAAATTCTGACCCTACCATCCGAATGTCGCAGCAGAAATCGAGACTCATCAGACCAGGCAACGTTTTTCCAATCTTCTATTGTCCAATTTCGATGAGCTTGTGCAAATTGTAGCCTCAGTTTCCTGTTCTTAGCTGAAAGGAGTGGCACCCGGTGTGGTCTTCTGCTGCTGTAGCCCATCTGCCTCAAAGTTCGACGTACTGTGCGTTCAGAGATGCTCTTCTTCCCACCTTGGTTGTAACGGGTGGTTATTTGAGTCACTGTTGCCCTTTTATCAGCTCGAACCAGTCTGGCCATTCTCTTCTGACCTCTGGCATCAACAAGGCATTTCTGCCCACAGAACTGCTGCTCACTGGATGTTTTTTCTTTGTCGGACCATTCTCTTTAAACCCTAGAGATGGTTGTGCGTGAAAATCCCAGTAGATCAGCAGTTTCTGAAATACTCAGACCAGCCCTTCTGGCACCAACAATCATGCCACGTTTAAAGTCACTCAAATCACCTTTCTTCCCCATACTGATGCTCGGTTTGAACTGCAGGAGATTGTCTTGACCATGTCTACATGCCTAAATGCACTGAGTTGCCGCCATGTGATTGGCTGCTTAGAAATGAAGTGTTAACAAGCAGTTGGACAGGTGTAGCTAATAAAGTGGCCGGTGAGTGTATTAAATTGGTTTAATAAATAAATTATTCCACCCAGATCTATTACCATCTCTGTCTCTAGAGATTAACTGAAAAAGGAACTGTGGCAGCTTCATGATGAAGAAATGTATTATTATAATGTGCTTAAGAAAACAGAATATTTTTTAAACGGACTGTGTCGGTAATTACCCTGCCAAGGAAAAACAAAGCAAACACACACCACACAACTCAATGCAGCAACAATGAAAGCCTGACAAAGCATCACAGAGGATAACCCCACTTTTGGGTTAAGTCCATAGACTCTGGGCATTCTGCTCGCTTCTATTATTTTACTGTGCGGATTAAAAACTTTAAATTTGAAAGAAAGAGAAAACTTTTTCTTGTACTGGTTTAAAAAGAAAAGGGTGAAGATATTTTAGTCAGTGGTTCTCACTCTTGGCTTTTAATGCAATCTCAGAATAGCACTTAGCATAAAAAATCTCAGTTACTGTTATATTTAGAACATGGTTTTACATATCAAAAACTTGTAATTCATTGTTTCTTTAAAAATAAGTACTTTTATGTCTCTTAAAACCCCAATTTTAAAGATAAAAGATGATTTGACATTACTTTGGAATATAAAGTTATATACTCACCAGTCCATCACATGTACTTATTGCGGCATGTCCTTTAACAGTGGTCCTGTCCCACACTTCGCCTAAATAGTAACACCCGGGAGCTCCGGGGCGCTGGATCTTGGCCCCTTCCAGGCCACCATATCTCCTTTCCGTCATAAAGCCCGGAGCCAGCAGGTTTGGATTGAGAGTAAGGTTAAAGTACAAGCTGTGGCCGCCGTGGAGAAACTGGTAGAAGACTTGATGGGCACCCGCACTGTCCTCTGAGGTTTCCCGGCGTTGTACACGGCGTGTGCGGTAGGACAAGACGTTTGACAGGAAGTGGCCTCTGGCATCAACTCTAGTTGGGTGAACTACTTCATATGGAGGCAGGTCATGCAGATAGCTCTCTGTGAAAGCCATGGGAAAGCATTTTGTATGAGAAGATTTGCTAATATATCATGGGAATGAACAGAATAATTAAACAATTAAGGATCTGTAAAGCCGTAAATAAAACTGAATCTCTAAACCACATCTCATGACTGCATAATCATCTCATTTATGTGCTTCCAAGCAGATGCAAACCTTGATTAATGCTTCAATTCCTAATTTCCTTTTCACATTTTGCCTTTTACTTTCATGTGCAGTGGGTTAATTAAGGCTTTTGAAATTTGCTCTCCTAATGGAAATTATCCCTAATTTTCTTGGACCTGAAGTGGAGACATCAGCAGTATCAAAAGAAGTGTCTCTAAGAGCTCTTGGAGTTGCATAACAATAAGGAGACTTTGCCTTCAAAACGGTAGGTGACCTTCCAACACATTGACATTGATTGTAATGCAGAAATATGAAAATAAAACAACATATTTGAATTATTTAACCCTTTATAATCTAATCATTATACTGCATATAATGTATCAGGTTGGCAATAAAAAGTCACCTGTATCCATTTAGGCTTTATTAAGTAAAGATGCAATGGACCACCCATTCCTGCTAGAAATCAAATCATTTTAGTATCTATTTTTATGCAAGTGGTTTGATCAGTTATAGTTTGCACTCTTTTAAGTGGGGTCATGTGGTCTGACTTAGAGAAGCCAGTATCTTATTTAAATGTACAGCTGTCAAGAGGATTTCATTTTAGTGTACTGGGAGAGAAAATCTCAAGCAACATTCAAGCAGACAGACAGTCTGGTGGCAAACACTAGTTAAAAGGGTTTTTTCAACTAAACAGCTTCCCCTAAAAACGTCATATTCCTCACATTTTTAATAATAAAATATGGAAACTGAAAAATCTTTGTGTTTCCCAGGATCACTACAAACAGATACCCTGACATCACCACCTTAAATTGATTAATGTTTGGGATTAGGTTCAATAAAAATTTGCTTAAGCCTTAATATTCAACAACAAATCTGACACAAAAGTTTCATCACAGGTGTTAATCCATTATAAATTCAGCCTTAAAAACCACCATGGCTCGAATCAAATGCGAGTACTGCAGAGAGGTATGGACGTCTAAACTATGACCAAAGTGCATCCGCCATAATAAACACTTTATATCAGAACCGTGCTGGCATGGGAAGGAGCTAAGACCAGAAACAGGTATTTTTTGTGTTAGTAACTGCCGTAATGAGAAAAGTAGTCTCAGTGGTCTAAATGTTTTAATTATACTAAATGTTTTTAATTAATTCTAAATGTTTTAATTATACTAAATGCTGCACATTTTTAAGCTCCTAAAGGCAATGCTTTATGCAGAGCTGAACTGTCATACTCTGTCAGTATTACAAATGAAATGTTATCTTCTGTCTACAGTAGAGACTGACATTTTTTCGGGAATCCCACGGGTCACGGGATTCCTGTGGGATTCCCGTGGGATGGGAGTCAGTATTAGTAACCATCAAGTGATTGGGACGGTACTGGATTAAACATTAACGGGAGCAGACGGGAGCGGGAGCAAACCGATAGTAACTAAAAAAAAAGACTAGGATCGATGCCAAAAAATAAAATAAAATAGAAAGAAAAAAATCCAGTACTGGATAACTACATGACCCAAAAACCATTTATAATTATTATTCCTTTTACTTTAACTGACCTTTACTACAGTTAGAAACAGGAACTTAACTGAACCTTCATAGAAATTCATATTCAACGTATTGGCAGAAATCTTATTGAAGACAACAAGAATGGGAGTGGTGCAGGAGCGGGAGTCATTCTGAATGGGAGCGGGATGGGAGTGGGAGTAATTTTACCAGGAGTGGGACGGGAAAGGATTTAGATTTCTACTCTGGCCCGGGATCGGGACGGGACATAATTTTTTTCTGTGGGAGTGGGACGGGACAGGAGTGAAAATCCACTCCCGTGTCAGTCTCTAGTCTACAGGCAATATTGTATGCCATGTTTCTATATATAGTTTTGTACTGTATTTAGAGGGAGAATCATGCTATAACAAATGCCCATGTACTTTTTACCAATACAATAAATCATTGGATTAAAAGCTATATATATATACTCACCGGCCACTTTATTAGGTACCCCATGCTAGTAACGGGTTGGACCCCCTTTTGCCTTCAGAACTGCCTCAATTCTTTGTGGCATAGATTCAACAAGGTGCTGGAAGCATTCCTCAGGGAGTTTGGACCATATTGACATGATGGCATAACACAGTTGCCGCAGATTTGTCGGCTGCACATCCATGATGCGAATCTCCCGTTCCACCACATCCCAAAGATGCTCTATTGGATTGAGATCTGGTGACTGGGGAGGCCATTTGAGTACAGTGAACTCATTGTCATGTTCAAGAAACCAGTCTGAGATGATTCCAGCTTTATGACATGGCGCATTATCCTGCTGAAAGTAGCCATCAGAAGTTGGGTACATTGTGGTCATAAGTGATGGACATGGTCAGCAACAATACTCAGGTAGGCTGTGGCATTGCAACAATGCTCAATTGGTACCAAGGGGCCCAAAGAGTGCCAAGAAAATATTCCCCACACCATGACACCACCACCACCAGCCTGAACCGTTGATACAAGGCAGGATGGATCCATGCTTTCATGTTGTAGACGCCAAATTCTGACCCTACCATCCGAATGTCGCAGCAGAAATCGAGACTCATCAGACCAGGCAACGTTTTCTATCTTCTATTGTCCAATTTCGATGAGCTTGTGCAAATTGTAGCCTCAGTTTCCTGTTCTTAGCTGAAAGGAGTGGCACCCGGTGTGGTCTTCTGCTGCTGTAGCCCATCTGCCTCAAAGTTCGACGTACTGTGCGTTCAGAGATGCTCTTCTGCCCACCTTGGTTGTAACGGGTGGTTATTTGAGTCACTGTTGCCCTTTTATCAGCTCGAACCAGTCTGGCCATTCTCCTCTGACCTCTGGCATCAACAAGGCATTTCCGTCCACAGAACTGCCGCTCACTGGATGTTTTTTCTTTTCCGGACCATTCTCTGTAAACCCTAGAGATGGTTGTGCGTGAAAATCCCAGTAGATCAGCAGTTTCTGAAATACTCAGACCAGCCCTTCTGGCACCAACAATCATGCCACATTCAAAGTCACTCAAATCACCTTTCTTTCCCATACTGATGCTCGGTTTGAACTGCAGGAGATTGTCTTGACCATGTTTACATGCCTTAATGCACTTAGTTGCCGCCATGTGATTGGCTGCTTAGAAATTAAGTGTTAACGAGCAGTTGGACAGGTGTACCTAATAAAGTGGCCGGTGAGTGTATATATATATATATATATATATATATATATATATATATATGAAATTGTGCCTATATAATTTATTGAGTATTAAAAAGGGTTTTTGAATAGAAGATGTGTATTTTGTTGATTATATGGTTTTTGATTAGAACGCGATTAATTTCTATTGATTATTACAGATCTTTTAATTAACTCGATTAAAAAGGTAAATCGAGTCCCACTAATACTCATAATTACAACTCCTTGATAAGATTAAAGGATCCTTGATTCAGCAGAACATAGTACAATTCATAAAAATAAGCTACAGGAAGATCAGACAGCGAGATCCTGGTAATACCAATGCTTTGTTAATGTTAAAGTTAAACAACCATGCAGACACACAAACTCACATCCATAACCTACATGAATGTTTGTAGAAGATGGCAAGAAGCCAAAATAAGCCCTCATACAAGGAGAAAATGAATCCCAATGTAGGAAGCCTCAACCCAATATTTAGATTCAGGATGATCTTGCTGCAAACCTGTGGTTTTAACAACTGCACCACTATAGAGCATTAGAACAGGCTTATTGCAGAAGCTCCCTTAAAACTAATAGTCAACATTACATCATTTTATCAAAGCTGATTCTATCATTTTCTTTTATCATCAAAACAATATAAAATTAAAATATTATTAGTATATAAATATTAAGAATTATTTTTTGTTAATTACCTGTCAGACAGGTGTTTGGCACAACTTTCTGAATGAAAAAATGTATGGTTGGGAATCTTTAATATCATAAGGGAGAGAATATGATTACCAAGTTAAGTGAAATAATGATCCAAGGTGAAATTAAAGTTCATTACTCTTTATTAGAACGATTCATTGATCTCTTTCAACACAGTGAGCATATGTAAATGTAAGAAAAGAAATGTGAAAAATTTAAAGTATAACCTTAGTCCAAAGTAAAAATGTAATGAATTTACCACAAAGTTCAGTCAGATCTGATGAGCTTCTGTAATTCTACAAACTGATGTACAGTAGTAGCCATTCAAAATTTCCCCACTTTCCTTGATGGGCCCTTGGCTGGTCCCCTGCAATTCCCTTTTAAACATCAATCTTTGTACTAAAATATTCTTTCTGTCATGATTTGTGGACATTAAGATCTAAAGAGAAGTGCCTTCTCCCGGTCAGACCTTGTAATTCAGTGAAAGGGTGGAGTCAGAGCAAAAAAATATGCACATCCAGGAGAAGGAAGGGGTCACTCTAGTGGCTGGAAGCTGGCTGCCATTCGGCTGGCGTTTGACTAGGGAGGGCCTTTTCGAATGGCTGCTACTGTATGACACTATTTGGCTGAAACTACTCCATAAAAATCTATGATTAAAAAAAAGTATCCTGTTAGGATATCAAGCAATCAAGTCATTATTATAATGGATATATGGTATATTTAAGGCAGCAACAGCTCAAAGGGTCATTCATAGTCTGATTTAAACAATTAGTCAAAGTGCACACCCTCGTGAGCTGCCAGCTCACCAATACTGCTGCTCTTAATACAAGGACACTAATTTAAGCTTCTTTTAATACATATAGTGTTGTTGATTTTTCTCACCTCTGGGCTTTAATACTGTATGTTCCTTGATTCTGTTACATTCTGCAGAGGTGAATGAAATTGCTAAAATTCAATTTGGACAGGGTCTGGTTGTGGAGATTAATGACAGAGCAAACCTTTGAAT